TTCATTGCCATGTTAGTAGCACGCACTAGAATTTTGTAAGACTAGAAAGTTGTAGGCATACTTACATTAATTGCAGAGAATGAAGAGAGGGAAGAGTAGAGTAGGTGTGATGAATGGAATGGAATGAAATGACATGACAACCATGCAAGAGATGGGTTGCACTCGCACATTAGGAATGGACCCCGCTTCATGTCTCTCCTTATGAAGCAAATACAGCTTTAAATTTTTTGGGGTTTCTCACCTTTCATCCCTCTCAAGTGGATGCTTGGTGGGTTCCCTGTTACTGTGCCTTGAATCATGTCAATAATGGTGATAGCTACGATTTCGTTGCTTCAATAATGTAATGCCAATAATATTACTTGTGGCCGAGTGCCTCAATATTCTCTCTGCCAACTGCCAAAGCCAAAAGACATTGGAATGGAAGTCATTAAAACATGGTTTCCACTGTCTAGAATCCGGAAGAAGCATGTTAATTTGCAAGGTTTTTTTTTTCTTTTTTCATCACAAAAGATGCCAAGGAGGTGTTTTGATTGATAAGGGATTTTGTATAAGACGATTTTATATGTATAATGGAAGTTAACAGGTATCATAGAAATATATAAGATTAAAATATTTTTGAAGTCTCTTGATTCTAATGTAAATATTTTTTTAATATAATTTTGACAATAAGATGTTCAGGTTTTCTTTCTATAGTACGCCAAAATTGTGGTCTTTGGCGAAAAATTTTCAAACTTCGATCATCAAGTTTGAATATGATGAGCCTTTTTTTTTGAAATGGATACACACACTGATGATCGTCAAGTAATTTTCAGAGAATTTTCATGACCCACAAAGAAAAAATTGAATGTTGTCCGACCATTACTTCAAAGCAATTGAAGAATTTTTTTTCTCCAAAATGGCAAACTGTAGGCTCTCATTCATAACTAGTGTCATTAATTTGGTGCTAATTGATGGTCCACCTACTTGGAAAATCCTATTTTTATTGCATACAATATCCAGAGAGGATTGTCAAAATTTTGGAATCCATCAATTCCATGTCAGTGGTTGGGCCACAGAATTATTTATATACATATGTAGTCCCTTCAAGCTACATATGTATAATTAATTAATAAAAGCCTAATCAATCATTTTGTATTTTTTCCAAGCACAAACAAATATAAACCATAACAAGTCTCTAAGTTTGATTTCTACGAGGACCACTCATCATTTGGCAAGTGCCAAATGACAATTTATTTGATGCAAATTCAGTGAATAAAATGGACAAGGCCAAGTATTAGTTTCACTAATTAGAAAATGCTCTTTTATCAGTTAAGTTTATGAGTTTAAATTATAATGTCAACATTTAATGTTATTATTAAAGTTTTAATGAATTAGGTTGGTGTGGAGATGTCTTTTTAAGGTTCTTTGAAAAACATATAATATTAAATAAAAATATAAAAATTAAAATATTTTATAATTTAAAATATTAAAAT